TAACAAATTTCCTTCTCCCTAAAATGATTTCCTAGGCCATATCATACCATAACTATCCACCTAGTTGCTTAAGCTAAAAACCTAGGAGGAGTTATTGCAAACACTTCTTCAACTCTAAAACCAAAAGCTCTGAAAATGAAACCGTAACTTTTGTAAGGTGACCCCAAAACTCACTGGCACCAAAACTTGACATGAGGCTGTTTGTGGTATTTATTTACCCCACGTGGTAAGAATATTCTGATATTGAGGGGTAGAAATATTTTATTTCATGATAGATTGCTAAGCTATATCCCACTGGGGTGTGCGTGTTAATATTCATATATGTACTATATTCTCTAAATTCTAAAATCCTCTGATGTTCAAACGTCACATAAAATGGCACATTATTTGCACATAACTGCACATATCCTCTGAATGTCCAGGCATGCCTCTGTTACCGCACTCCACAGACATTGCACTTTTTTAGAAATGGAAGGTATGTGATAACCCCGCATGGAGCAAGTTTATTGGTGCCATTATTCCAATAGCAGGCGCTCACTTCCTGTCTGGGTGTTGCACTTTGTTCATTCTTGCCATATTTCAACCTCTTCCTTATTACCATATCTGTTGTGATGCTCTGTGATCAATGATCTTTGATGTTACTGTGGTAACTGTTTTAGCGTGACACAAACCACACCTGTGTAAGGCAGCCCGTCCAATGAAGGTGCTGCACTTGGATTGCTCCGCCAACCAGCTTTTCCCTTTTCCTCAATCCTCCTGATTCCCTGAGACGCGACAGTATTGAAATTAGACCAAGTAATAACTCTCCAATGGCTTCTGAGTATTCAAGGGAAAGGAAGAATCATATGTCTCTCACTTGAAATGAAAAGCTAGAAATGGGTAAGCTCAGCGAGGAAGAGGAAGACGTGTGGAAAGAGGAGACAGGCTGAAAGCTCAGACTCCTGTGACAAAGAGGCAAGCTGGGAAGGCACAGGAAAAGCTCTGGGAGGGAATTAAAAGTGCCGCTCTAATGAACACAAAGCTGGCAAGGAAGAAGCAAACAGCTTTGGGGCAGATATGGAGGGAGTTTAAGTCGTCTGGATGGAAAATCAAGTCAACCACTTCCCTTAAGCCAGTGGTTCTCTGGCTCAGTGCCTGTGGCTCAAGTGGCTAAGGTGCCAGCCACATACACCTAAGGTGGCGGGTTCAAATCCAGCCCGGGCCCGCCAAACAACAATGACGGTTGCAACCAAAAAAATAGCCGGGCGTTGTGGTGGGCACCTGTGGTCCCAGCTACTTGGGAGGCTGAGGCAGGAGACTCACTTGAGCCCAGGAGTTGAAAGTTGCTGTGAGCTGTGTGACGCCATGGCACTCTACCAAGGGCGAAAAACTGAGACCCCATCTCTACAAAAAAAAAAAAAGCCAGTCGTTCTCAACCTTCCTAATGCTGCAGCCCTTTAAAACAGTTCTTGTGGGTCGTGACCCACAGGTTGAGAACCGCTGCCTTAAGCCAAAGCCTCGCCCAGAGCAAGGCCCTAAATCTCTTCAATTCTATGACAGTTGGGAGAGGTGAGGAAGCTGCAGAAGAAATTTTTGACGTTAGCAGAGGTTGGTTCATGATATTTAGAGAAAGAAGGCATCTCCAATAACATGAAAGTTCAAGGTGAAGCGGCAAGCGCTAATGGAGAAACTGCAGAATTGACACAGATGGCTACACTAAACAGCAGATTTTCAACGTAGACAAAACAGCCTTCTGCTGGAAGAAGATGCCACCAGGACTTTGACAGCTAGAGAGAAGTCACGGCCTGGCTTCAGAGCTTCAAAGGACAGGCCCACTCTCCTGTGAGGGGCTCATGCAGCTGGTGGCTTGAAGTTGAAGCTAGTGCTCATTTAGCATTTCGAAAACCTGAGGGCCCTTAAGAAATATGCTATATTGGCTCTGCTTTTGCTCTATAAAGTCTGGATGACAGCATACCTTTTTACAGCACGGTTTACTGAATATTGTGAGCCCACAGTTAAGATCTACTGGTTGGGGGGAAAATATTCTTTTAAAATACTTACTACTCATTGACAATGGACCTGGTCACCCAAGAGCTCTGATGAAGAGGTACAAGGAGAGAAATGTTGTTTTCATGCCTACTAATGTAAGTATCTATTCTGCAGCCCGTAGATCCTGGAATGATTTTAACTCTCAGTGTTATTATATTTAGGAAACACATTTTGTAAGGATATAGAAGCCATAAATAATGATTCAGCTGATGGATCTGGGCAAAGTAAATTGAAAACTTTTGGGAAGTATTCACCATTCTAGATGCCATTAAGATTGCTTGTGATTCATAGAAGGAGCTCAAACTATCAAAATTAACAGAAATTTCGAAAAAGCTGATTCCAACCCTCAGGAATGACTTTGAGGAATTTAAGACTTCAGTGGAGGGAGGCACTGCAGACAGATAGAAACTGCAAGAGAAATAGATTTAGAAATAGAGCCCAAGACATGGCTGAATTGCTGCAATCTCATGATCAAACTGGAACTGATGAGGAATTAGGTGGTTTCTTGAGATAGAATCTGCTCCTGACAAAGATGCTGCGAATACCGCAAGAATTCAGAACATGACGTATGTTTATAAAACAGCCACAGGGGTTGACACAGTTGACTTCAATTTTGAAGGGACGTTGATGGGTAAAATGCTATCCAACATGATTGTGTGCTATGTTCCCTTTGCGAATGGAAGAGTCAACTGATGCAACAAACTTCATTGCTGTCTTATTTTGAGAAATTGCCATACCCACGCCAACTGTCAGCAACTGCCACTCTGATCAGACAGTACCATCAACATCCAGGCAAGACCCTCCACCAGCAAACACATTATGACTTGCTGAAAGCTCAGATGATCATTAATATTTTTTAGCAGTAAAGCATTTTAATTGAAGTATGTGCATTGTTTTTTTAGACATAATGCTATTGCACACTTAACAGAGTATGACATAATGTAAATATAACTTTTATTTGCACCGGGAAAACAAAATCTGTGTGACTGATTTTATTAGTGTGGTATGAACCGAAATCCATAGTTATCTCTGAGGTATGTCTGTACCTTAAATCTCTAGATTACTTATAATATCTAATATAATGTAAATACTGTGTAGTTATACTATTAATATTTTTATTTGTATTATTTTTGTTGTGTATTTTTATTTTTTGTATTTTAAAAAATATTTTCAATAGGCCAGGTGCCGTGGCTCATGCCTATAATTCTAGCACTCTGGGAGGCCGAGGCAGGTGGATAGCTTGAGCTCACGAGTTTGAGACCAGCCTAAGCAAAAGTAAGATCCCATCTCTACTAAAAATAGAAAAACAGAGGCAAAAGGATCGCTTGAGCCCAACAGTTGGAGGTTGCTGTGAGCTATGATGCCATCGCACTGTACCCAGGGCAACAGCTTAAGACTCTGTCTCAGAAAAAAAAAAAAGTATATATATATATATATATATATACACACACACACACACACACATCCATGGTTGGTTGAATCTGGGGATGTGGGGTGTGGAAGGCCCATTGTACATCTGTTAACGCATTAAAAGGTACTATTTTTACTGTTCCCATTTTATATATGAAGAAACTGAGTCACAGAGAAAGTAAGACCTTTCCTAAGGTCGCACAGCCATTAAATGGTTAAAGCTAAGAGACTGAAATAAATCTGAAAAGGCAATGAATTTCTCACGTGATTCAGTGTTACTCTATGTCCTATTCTCATAACATCCAAATAGTTTCCATCTTTCCCACCCCCTTCATTGGTAGAATAGGACTCTCATATCATGAAATTCAGGCCTACTACAGGATAATCTAATTTTTTATATATATGTATTTTTTTTGTAGAGACAGAGTGTCACTTTATCGCCCTTGGTAGATCATTTTTTCTAATTTTTATAATTGAACTCTTATCCTTTTAGCCTCATTTTCTACCATAGTAACGTCAACCTCCTGCACCCAGTTTTGCCGATGCCTCCTAATCCCTAACCTATGGGCCACCAGGAAACAGGGTCTTTTCCTATTGGGGCAGGCAGTTAAGGCAAACACGGGACTGACAGTCATGAAGCACCAGGTTCTGGGACTGTACTGACCCCTGCTCTCTCTGCGCTGTGATCCGTAACCTACTCAGTTTCGATATGCACCGTAGGTCAGGTGCATACAGCTTGGTGACCTGGTGCACGTACTGGCCCAGGTCTGGTACCGCGCTCCGGTTTATCCTGCATCGTGTTCTGAATGCCCTGACGCTCACCCAACGCTCCAGCACTCACACACTCTCTGGCACCACATGCTAAAGCACCAGATGCTTCCGCCGACTTGTAAAGTGGAGTCCACTCCCTCAGCCTTAGCGGTGTCTAGATTTAAACTTTGAGGAAAACTTACCGTGGGCGTCGGCTGGCTCCGCCTCCCGAGCCACGTGGCCACTGGGCACCTGCGGCTGGACTCCGGGCAGGCTCCAGAGGGCGTGGTGGACCCCTAGAGGGAGCGGTCGGGGGCGGTCCCGGCCCGGCCCCCAGGTGGCGGGGCGGGCCCAGACAGAGAGAGCAGCAGAGGGGGGCGGGGCGGGCCAGGAAAGGCGGGGAGGTCCCGGGGGCGGGGCGGACCGAGGCTCTGGGGGCGGGCCTGGCAAGGTGGATTAGACCTGGAGAGGCCTGGGCGTTTGGGGGAAGGGTGGGTAGGGCCCAGGAGGATGGGTCTAGCAGCCGGTTAAGGAGGGCGGAACGAACCCGGAGAGGGTGGGGCTACTCGGTGCGTTTAGGGTAAAGTTGGGACTAGGCTAGGGGAACGGATCCGTGGATGGGGGAGCGTGGGGCTGTGGGGTTATAGGCTCAGGAGGCAGGGCCAGCCAGGAGGGGGCGGGGCGGGCCTAGGCGCCCGGGGCGTGCCCAGGGGTGGAATGGACCTGCCCAGGCGGGGCGGCCCTGGCGCGGTTTGGAGGTCTGGGCGGGCCGAGGCCGGGGTTAGGCTAGCGCGCGGCAGGCGGGCCGCAGGCCCGGGTGCACCACTATGGTGGGACATCTCCCGCGGCTGCTGAGACCACTGCATCAGCAGAAGCGGCCAAGCAGGCCCGGTGGCTGAGGCCTGGCCTTCCGGTAGTGAGTCTCCGAACACTGCCGCCTCGGAACGCGATTCCTCCCTCTCGCTTCCCTTGGGCGCAGACGGCCACCCTGCCGGACGATGCGCGCCCCTGGCTGCTCCGGAGGCTGAGCCCACAGCTCTGCGCTTCTTCCTCACCCTCACAGCCGCCCCCGATGGCTTTGCCCGGGGCCGAGGGCTTGGCCGACACGCCAGTGTCCCCGGCCCAGGGAGCCCCCGCCGGCTCCGCGTCCTCGTCGTCCGCCTCCTCCGGCGGCTCGGCCTCTGCGGGCGCGGGGCTGTGGGCCGCGCTCTATGACTACGACGCGCGCGGCGAGGACGAGCTGAGCCTGCGGCGCGGCCAGCTGGTGGAGGTGCTGTCGCAGGACGCCGCGGTGTCCGGCGATGAGGGCTGGTGGGCCGGCCAGGTGCAGCGGCGCCTCGGCATCTTCCCGGCCAACTACGTGGCTCCCTGCCACACGGCTGGGCACCCTGCGCCTCCGCCCGCGCCGCCGCCACCGCGGCCCGGCTCGCCGGTGCACGTAGACTTCGAGCTTCTGGAGCTTAAGGAGCTCATTGGTGCTGGCGGATTCGGGCAGGTGTACCGCGCCACCTGGCAGGGCCAGGAGGTGGCGGTGAAGGCAGCGCGCCGGGACCCGGAGCAGGACGCGGCGGCAGCGGCCGAGAGCGTGCGGCGGGAGGCTAGACTCTTCGCCATGCTGCGGCACCCCAACATTATTGAGTTGCGCGGGGTGTGCCTGCGACAGCCGCACCTCTGCCTGGTGCTGGAGTTCGCCCGCGGGGGAGCGCTCAACCGCGCGCTGGCCGTGGCCAATGCCGCCCCGGACCCACGCGTGCCCGGCCCGCGCCGCGCGCGCCGCATCCCCCCGCACGTGCTGGTCAACTGGGCTGTGCAGATCGCGCGGGGCATGCTCTACCTGCACGAGGAGGCTTTCGTGCCGATCCTGCACCGGGACCTCAAGTCCAGCAACAGTAAGTGGGGCGGGTGTGGAGGCAGACCGCCTCCGTGTCAGCCCGGGGCAGCCACTGCAGGGCGGCGTAGTACTGGTGGGAAGCGGCGGGGTCAGCCTCAGGGCACCAGCAGCACCTCCTGCCGGGGCCTTGCAGGGCTCAGAGGCGCAGCAAGTGCTCAGTTACAAGCTCTGTGGCAGGTGACAGTCTTATCTTGACTTGTTACCTTTGGGTGTTTTTTTAAGTACGCAGATAGATCAAATTGACTTATAGAGTATACATTTGTAAAATATCTGGATCTGCTGGAATCCCCCGGGGACGGTTTGGGCTTTGGATACTGTGGGGGTTTATTTGGGTAGGACTCAACAAACTGAGGCCTTCTGTAGATTAAGAGGAACTCGTGGAGGTCCTGGCAAAGTGGCCTTCGTCACGCTTCCCGAATGCACTCGGAATGTCACCTTTGTGAGTGCTATGCGTCCGCTGTAACTATGACTTCGTTTACTGTGACTTTCAAAATCATTCAGGTGTCACTGTACATGAAATAGGATTTTATTATTGGTTTAATCAGTACTTTTCTCCAGACAAGAAGCACCAGTTTGCTCTGTTATGTGCTTTTGGGTTAAGAACAAGTGGGCTGTCCTTGCACGGGTGCTTGAAATCCTGAAGACCTGGCCAATGTCATTTACTTTGTTTATACATCAGGGTGGATTTACCAGATGTCAATAAATGACCCAAATACAAGTCCTATTGAATTTCACTGTATAAAACAGCTAGTAGAACTGCTGTGTGAAGTTCGTTGTTTTCTGTCTTTTTTTTTTTTTTTTTTGAGACAGAGCCTCAAGCTATCCCCCTGGGTAGAGTGCTGTAGCATTACAGCTCACACAAACCCCCAACCCCGGGACCAAAGCGAGCCCCCTCCCCCACCCCCCCAAGTAGCTGGGACCACAGGCGCCCGCCACAACGCCTGGCCATTTTTTGGTTGCAGCCATCATTGTTGTTTGGCGGGCGGGCTGGGGATTCGAACCCGCCACCTTAGGTGTATGTGGCTGGCGCCTTAGCCGCTTGAGCCACAGGCACCGAGCCAGTTCGTTGTTTTCTATTGAAGTTCCCTTCATATTCTTAGAATGAGATGAATTCCGTGAAAGATTAGAGGATGCAGCCACAGCTGGCTTTGGCCTACCTCAGCTGGACGTCTCTCAACCTTGCAAAACCTGCTAGGACAGGGGCTAACTCAGGTGGAAACATTGTCCTCTTGCAAATGTAGAAAGAAGAGTGGCATGAAGAAATGATGTATTTGTTGTATGTTTTTGTAGTCTTTTTTTCCTATTCAAAATCCTTGGGTGCTGAAATTTACTTGACAATGACTAACGCAGCCCTTTAATTGTGGGAATTTTACATAATTGGAGTGTTGTAGCTATGCATAAGCCTTGAATACTTTTAGGTTTTATTTTATGACCCCTACACCTTCACCCCCAGGCCTCTCATAATTAGGGTGACCAGACGTCCTGCTTTTGGCGGGACAGTCCCGCTTTTGAACAATTTGTCCCGCGTTTCGCGGCGTTTTAAAAAAGTCCCGATTTTTGGAAAGAAGGCATGAACGGGCAGGAGAACAGGAAGGGAATATACGGTTTTCGGCTGCCAGGTGGCTATTTCGCCAGAATATGAGTTTTATATTATTTTTGTTAATTTTATAATGTTAAACTGTAATAATAACAAATAATTGTTGAGAAGTGATTAGCGAGAACTGCTTATCAAAGTTTGCATTGTTGTCAGGCCCAGCCCTGCCCGGGGCCCCTGCCCCGCCCCCGCCCCCTCCCCGCCCCCCGCGATGTCCCGCCTTACCGATGTTACAATCTGGTCACCCTACTCATAATTTAAATTGCCACTGCTTAAATGTCAGGGGCAAAGGTAGTTCTGCTCTGTTCTCAGTACTCAGCCACCGGAAGGATGCTAGGTTGCTGGCTTTGGGACTGTGCGCTTGTAAAGACAGTGCAATTTTCAATGTCCTTATGTTTGTAAATGCTTCAAACAGGATAGTTTTCACTGCCAATTTGTGCATGTTTTCTACTATATACTTAAATTTTTTTTTTCAGGCTGATATAAGGGTACGTAAGATTAGGTTACATTGTTTGCATTTATTGGGAAAAGTCTGGGTTGTATTTGTGTGCTTCCCCCAAAAGATGTGCCATGTACCCCTACCTTGTACCCATTAGGGGAGTTTACTGGCCCCCTTCTCTGGCTCCCCACTCCCCGCTTCTTGAATTTAATTGGTTTTCCGTTTACTGACCCTCTTCTCTTTCTCCCCCCACTTCTTGAATTTAGTTGTGCTTTTCCTCTCCTGTGCACCTGTAACTGTCCATCTGCTAGTTTCAAGTTAGTATCGGGTACATGGGATGCTCGAGATATTTTTCTAAGGGGAGTGTTTCTTCAGCGCCATCCAAGTAAATACAAAAGATGTGAAGCCTCCATCTTTTTTTAATGGCTGAATTAAAATATGCTGTTGTCGAAGGACTTGTCTAGCCTGCTCCTGTAGAACAGGTGACTTGTCCATGTGTGCCATGAGCTCTCTTCCCGGTCACGTGAAAGATGTTTTAAGGACACCAGCATCTTTCCCTCACACTGCCTTTTGGCCCTTGCAGCATCACTGTGGTGACGCAGAACCTGGCATTCTACAGACTTAGTCTGTTTTCGGGCAGCAAATCATCAACACAGACAAACCATTGGGTTGGAAGGGTCCTTAGAAAGTTAAAAGGCCTATGGCTATTACTTTTGCCTTGTATTTAGGTTAGTTTGTTTTGGAATCATTCCTGAGGCTCATACATAGGGTGACCAGGTTTTAACATTGGTAAAGCGGGACAACATGGCAGGGGGTGGGGCAGGGGCCTGGGCAGGGCAGGGCCTGACAACAATGCAAACTTTGATAAGCAGTTCTCGCTAATCACTTCTCAACAATTATTTGTTATTATTACAGTTTAACATTATAAAATTAACAAAAATAATATAAAACTCATATTCTGGCAAAATAGCCACCTGGCAGC